AATAGAACTTCAAAATATGATACCTGCTCATAAGCATCAACTCCAAACTTCTGCTTGAATGATGATAAGTTTGTTAGTGCCCAACATGGTAATTTCTCACCATCATGGGTAACAATTGAATCTAATCCATATCTTGTATCCTTGCTTGATTTAATAACTGCCACATTTCTGAATACGAGAAATCTTAAATTTAAATCATGTACATAAAAATCAGGCTATTGCTAACACCAATTATATTACCATCCACAGTTAAGTTACTTTCCTAAAAGATAAAACCACTTGTTTCCAGTCACAAATGTGGCTCAGTTGGAAAAGCAACCTCATGTTATTAAACATGATCTATTAAGTATGCAACTTATCATATTATAATTGGGAAACATGACTTAAAAAATAAAGATTTTCAGAATGCAACGTGTTGTTGAAGATCACCAGAAAAAGGAAATGCTCTGGGAATTTTCACCATGGGTGATGACCATAACAGACTTCACAGTCTGAAATGGCATCTGAAGAGGCAACATGGTTGCTCAATAACAAGGAAAAACCAGCATTTGAACACTGAACAAGCAACCCAGCTAGCTTAAAACAAAACAAGGATGACGCTAGTGTGATTGTTATCCAATACTAAATATCCAGAACAATACTAAGCATTTCAGAGCTGGACAATACTGATTGTCCTGTCTACCTTGGATTTCAATAAAACTGTATTACTGGTATCCAGGGGAAAATCACTGGTTAGCTACATGAAAGGCACATCATTCCCATGCCGCTGAAGAATGTATATAGTATACTATATACTAGTTCAGCAGAGTGTCCCCTATGTTTCACTGTTCCACTTCAAATCTACGACCTGTAACTGAGGAGCCTTCTTCGCAAAATATAATGCTACTTACGAGGACAATCAAATTACATGCATTTCAACCAAAATTTTAAGCACCAGACCCCTTATATCCTATGTGATCCAGTTACATACAGTTTGTCTTTATCGGTTTTCACTTAAATCAGGAATGTAGCCCACATCCTTCAAATTAGAGGTTATCTCTTTAATCACCTGATAAACCTCATCAGCTTGTTGGTGAAATTTATCACCTTTAAAAAAGAAAGAAACCTCCTTTTGGACTTCAATCCTGCTATAACCAGGTTCCTTTGTCATCCCTGATTCCCTCATTGTAGCCCTAACCTCCTCAACATCGTCCCACAACCCAGAAGATGCATAAGCATTTGCCAAGACAACATACTTTCCAGCATTTGCACAATCAAGTTCGAAATACTTCTTTGATGCAATCTTTAACAAGTCTATGTCACCATGAATCTTACATGCCCCAAGCAAGGCACCCCATATTACTGAGTGCTCTTTACAAGGCGACTTCAGTACAAACTCATAAGCCTCGTTTAACTTCCCAGCACGCCCTAAAAGGTCAACCATTGCTGCATAATGTTTTCCTTGTGGCATAATTTCATATTCTGTTATCATTGATTGAAAATACTTATGCCCCTCATCAATCAACCCCCCATGGCTGCAAGCAACCAAAACTGCAAGAAAAGTTACATAATTTGGTCTAAAACCTTCAGATATCATTTTATGAAAAGATTCTAAAACCTCCACAACCCTTCCATGCTGACCATATCCAGATATTAGAATAGTCCAAGTAATGGTATTTCTGCTCAAACATGTATCAAACAGCCGTCGCCCATCACATATACTACTGCATTTAAAATACATGTCTATTAAGGCACTGTTGACCACAACATTGTCCGTGATTTGGCACTTGATCATTACACCATGGGCTTGCTTCCCGGGTTCTAATGCCGCCAAAGTTGCACAGGCTCTGAACACTGATGCAAAGGTATACTGATCTGGTCTTATACCAGCTTGTCTCATCCCACAGAAAAATTCCAATCCAACATCTTCAAGGCCCTCTTGGATGTAGCCAGCTATGATTGCATTCCATGAAATTAATCCCTTCTCCACCAAATTATTAAACAAGAACCGGGCAGTTTCTAGATATCCTGATTTTGCATATAATATCATCAACTTGTTCTTCAAATATTCATTCGGAGCGTATCCAACAACAATCATTTGTGCATGGATTCTTTTTCCTTTCTTATACTCTTTCCAGAATATACATTCCTGCAGCATCAGAGAGTAGGTTCTTGGGTGCACCGGCAATCCTGTACACCACAACAGCCGAATTGCATCTACCAACCTTCCAGATACACACAGACCTCTCAATACTTTATCCAAGTCGGGGTCTTTTTTGCGAGACTTGACCTGAAAGCTGAGAATATCTGACCAATGATGATTGCAAACATGGCATTCCAAACAACAAGTCTTTCCCACTCAGAACCAGAACACAAAAACAAAGCTTTTTATTGATATCAATGTTTTTGCAGTTTGCAATACTAGTAATTTTCAAATACATTGCATGATTCACCAATAAATGTAAATAACCGTATGCATAAAACCATGAGAAATCACATTAAAAAATCATCAATTATTCAAGCAGAGAAGTACCAAAAGGTAAGCTTAAGTTTTTTTTTAATTATTAACATAAATAGTATTTAGTAAAGTCCATTTAACCAAGCACAAAAAAATATATAAGCTACTTTTTATTAATAAAAAAATGTTTATCTGAGAAAATTCCTAAAAAATTGCTCTTAAATTAAAAAAAAAAAACTTTTTTATTAAGAGATATTGACCTGCCGTTGGTGGACTCGGATTGAAGGCGGCGAAGGAGTGAGGTGGTTTTTCCGGCGAACATGGGTCCCACAAAGACATGAATTTCACCAGATGAAGAACGAGAAGGCTCCAAATTCAAGCTTCGATGATGAGAAGTGCAAATTAAGGTATTGGATGAAAAGGGTATTGAATTGAACATCATGTGAAGATGATTGAGGATTGGAAATGGGTTGCGGCGGAAAGGGGTGATGGAGAGAGAAGAGTGTGGGAAGAGAGAGAAAGAAGAGATTTTGTGAGAAAGAAGAAGATGGGGTGATAAAGATGAACACTTTGGGTTTAAGATAATGGACTTCATCATATGATTTTTGCAACTTTGGTTGTTAGGTGCAGAAACTTCGAATTTTAAGGGTTTCACTTGGAGTTTGGAGGGAAATGTTGCAGACAATAAGGGTTTATTTGGTTTTAGAACAAACATTTTTTCACTTTTCACTTTTCACTTTTATTATCACTATTGATGATTAAACTACTAAGTTCATCACTATTTTCACATGTTAGTATTATGTTACTCATGTGCACCAAAATTTTTGGACAAAATTAACCTCTATTTTAATTATAATAAAATTAGCAATAAGGATAGTTTTATAATTTTCATCTCAAAAAATTCATTCATCATCCCTAACCTTCCCTTCTCTCATTAACTCACTTATCCCAAAACACCAAAACCATTCACCACTATAACATGAAGCTATTCTGCATTAATTTTATTGAATGATAAGAAACTCCTTTATAGGGAGAGAATACAACAACTAACAACTAGTCACCAACAAATAGCTAAAATTAAGGTAAGATAATGATAAAGCTAACAATATTCACAACTAATAATAAGCTATAACAATAATGTACAGCTAATGATAAGATAACAACTTTTGAATACATTGTGATAACCAACTCATACGTTAATAACCACCACTAAACCTCCTCGCACCACTTATTTAGAGCAGTTGTATATATTTTTCTTTTACACATGACAGGACCTTCATATCTTTAACATCAAAAGATAAATTCACCTAGTAGCAACAATAACACTCACAGTTTTGATCTTATTCTTCTTCACCCAATCAACAAAAATGTTAGAACCATCTTCTTCTATTGAGCTAAAATATCCATCAAAACAATCCTTACGCCTGATTGTTACATTGGTTTCATTCTCTAACCATCTTAAAGCTGTCATACACATGCGGTAGTGTGTTGCGGTGATGCGGCGGTGTGTTGCAGCGGTGCGGTGGAGTGTTGCGACGATGCGGCGGTGTGTTGTGACGATACGGCGGTGTGTTGTAGCGGTGCAGCGGTGTGTTGCGGCGGTGTGGTGGTGCGGTGATAGTGGTGGTGTGGGGATGTTTAGTGGTGGTGTGGGGAGGTTTAGTGGTGGTGAATGATTTTGGTGTTTTGGGATTAGTGAGTTAATGGGGGAGAGGGAAAGTTACGGATGATTGGTGAATTTTTTGAAATGGAAATTATAAAACTATCCTTATTGCTAATTTTATTGTAATTAAAGTATGAGGGTTAATTTTGTGCAAAACTTTTGGTGCACAATGCTAACCTGCACCAACTAAAAAACTTCTTTCCCTATGTTAGCAAAACCCATATAAATATTGATATTTAAACTAATATTATTCAAAGTATTTGTATTTAGGGATGACAATGAAAACCAAACTTGTGGGTACCCATCTGAACCAAACCCGAATTTAACGGGGGAAACCCGATGTGATTGAGTTCGAGTTCAAGTTTTAACTGATTTCAAATTTTGTGTTCGGGTTTGGTATTGTTAATACCTACTCCGAACTCGTCCCGAACCCAATTAATATATGTATAAAAGCTATATATATTTCACAAAAAAATACATATTTTGTTCGGGGTTTTTTCAAGTTCGGGTTACACGAAACCCAACAGGTTCAGAGATGATATTATTGTTTTCAACCCCAATTAATTCAGATCGAGTTTTGAATTTCGGGTTCGGAGTTGAGTAAGTCCGACCCGCCCAGTTGTCATTCCTAATTGTATTTTGTGTTGTTCTCAATAATCAAACTCTTAAAGAGATCTTAGTACGACATATATATCATTAATCATTCTCATTTTTATTACTTATATTTAAAGGGGTTTTAATAATCTCGGAAAAGATGCTTTTTAGATGAAGTAGGTTATCATTGTGTACTAATATTTGTTAACACCACAACCTCCCACCAAACACCAAAAAAAAAACCCTCATTAACCTCTATATATATATATATGTGTGTGTGGGGGTTGTTTAGTTGCTCATCCAGAGTGTTGGTCAAGTGGAGTGACATTTGTTGAAACTTATAGTCATATATCTGAAAGATATTAATTCCTTACTTAAAAGGGTAAGGAGAAAAATCCAACAAAGTCTTTATCAAAATGGTGTGAGTCATTTTGCTTGGTGGTCATTCATTGTGCCAACCATTATTTCAAATTTATTCAAAAATGGCTTCACTAACTGCAAAAATAGTGGTAAGTTTCTCATTAAGAACCGAGCTTTACAAAAATAGTTTATTTTCTATCCTCCACTTATGCTTCCGGTGTTCTTATGTGAACAAGAACAATTATTTTTGGGTTATGGATGGTTTGCATGTAGCTTTTCTTAGGTTTATGGTGTTGGTGAAACTTCTATTGGTGGAGAATAGGTTGATGATGGTGTTTATTGTGGATGAATGGTGAAGGCAAAACATGTCAAACTTGTATAAATCCTTACGGCGAATCCGTGATTTGTGTTTGTTACAAGTTAATCAAAGTTGATTTTAGCACAATAGCTTGTTACAAGTTAGATTTAGGAACTGTCTATTGAGTTGTTTCATACAACCCTACAAAAATTTAATAAATAGAATTGATTAACTGCTTCTCTCAATTAATGGAGAGACAAGTACCACATTTTCTTTGTATTTTGAATAACAAAATTGTTATTCCATTAATAGAGAAAATCCTTACTCAACTTCAACAGAAGTAAATCATGAAATCTTTATTCTAAACGGGTGATGGAGATTACTTGTATCATTTTTTATGTCCAAATGATATATCAATCCAATTAAAGATGCTACATAATTAAAAAGAAAAAACATAAAAAAATAATTTCCTTATATTACTTGGTTAAATGTAATTGACTTAGAAAATAAGAACATGAATTTTTTAGGACATATAATCTTTGTGTATTCTCAATTTTTTCCACTCATCTCATGTATAGTAAGAAAAGTTACACATTAGTTCAGATTGGCTAAATTAAATTATACACATTAAACATTGCACAAGCTTTCTTTTAAGAATAAGGTATGCACCTCACTTAAAAGGATGACATAGGAATTATATCTATCTTTTCTAAAAATGAAGGTGAGTATAATTTTTAAATAAAAATAATATTAAAATTAAATATCATGGAGATAATTACAATTTTGCTTTTTATTAAGGAAAAAAACTCTTAGGTCTACTTGTGAGTTTTTTAGGAGAAGAAAATGAGTGAAGTCTTTATAGTCTTTTCATAAATGTATTTCATAATTTTCTGGTTTTTTCGAATACAGTTGTCTCAAATTTCTCATCCACTAAAATTTTGATATATGTTAAAAAAATTGAGAAATATAATAAAAATGGTGCATTATTTTTATTAGATATTAAAATTTTATTGGATAAGAAATAGTTGTACACTCTTAGAAGCAATAATGCTAGACATTATACTCTCTACTTGATTAAGAGAATAAAGTTTATTCCAATATCAAACAAAGATACACTATTTCAATACTAAAATCATTATATATGTCCTATTGTTTTATTTTTTAGGAATATTTTTTTATTAAAATTAGTTAAATATGAGACATGTGATGTATTATGATTGATTAATTAATAAAAAGTGGATATATGCCAACCAAATTGAAAACAAATTAAATGGATCAGCCATGTTCTATATGAGACCATTAATCATGCCATGCACAATGTTACAAACTTTCCAACTTTAGCAAAATTGTTAATGGGATGGATCGTCATCGTAGTTGGCTTTCATGGCTGGTTCCAATCATATACCCCATATTATAATATTTCTATTAATTTTAAGCAATTTTAGTTATTGTTAATTAATTTAGCTAACATATATATATATATATATATATATGCCTAGAATTAGCATCCATCTTATCATAAAACTTGGAATCATGCATATGATTGACTAAATGGGGATCATTTCCAGATTGGATTGTGACACATGACAAAAATAATTTTCAAATGACCATGATTTTATATTATTTTCAATAATAAATAATTATAAAAAATCAACCTCATATTTTTGTACTGACCTCTTCAATACTGGAGAGGAATTGAACTCATGTTTGACCCTATACATCATTATTACCTCGCACGTGGGAATCAATTATGCAATAGTGTCTCTAGCTACAAAAAATAAACAATTATGCAAAATTGATTCCATAGCTTAACAACCATCCAATCTCCAAGCTAATTTATCTATAATATAATTCATGAGGTAAGTTTCATTTAGAATGAATACTTGAACATCAATTTCATGTATTAATTGCTTTTTTTTAAAATACATACAAATTGGCTTAAAAGGAACCAACCCTCTTTGTCTTTTTTGGTGTGGTGTTGAAGGGTGAAGATTAAGATAACACTATGCAACTTTAGTGAATCTCTCGCACCTTCTCCCACCATCGATTTGGTGTTCAAGATCTTGTTCCATAAGTTATCTCGCGCTGATGAAAACATGTTATATCAATAATTTAAAAAATTAAAACATAATTATTACTCATGTTTTTGTTTCATTATCATTAGCACGATTCAATGTATGCGACATGAATTGAAAGCAAATTACCAAATTTAAGCAAGTAGTTTTGATTAATTATCTTTCGGTTGACGTAATTCTATTGGAGTCGGAAAAATCCTTACTATAATAGGGTTAACTCTTCTAATGAGAGTTTTTTCATACGCAAGACTCGATTATGGTACTTAAAGAGAAGCATGCATTTGATTGTTAGTTAATATTTGTTGTTTTACTTTTTTTTCTTAATCTATTTGTTGTCTAAGTTTTATCTTCTAATTTTATCCATTCAGATTAGTTAAAATATTGATGAAATTTTATTCATGTTCACTAATTAAAAGAGAATTGGTTGTTATTGTCAGCAAAAACCACACTAAATTTGAAAAACCAATATTAAATGAGAATATTTTCTAATATTGTTCTTTAGATGAGTCAAATTTAAAAGTAAAATAAAGTGATGAAAAGTAAATATTGTTTATAATAGATATGTCAATGTTATTAGTTATTACACAAATATAAATGATAGAATAAAATATAATAATTCGTGCATGGGCTAAAAAGTAAAAACTACTGTGTATATGTGTAAGGAGTTTAATGGGTTCTTAATTAATAATAGAATGAGTTTTAAATATTTGCATGAAATGAAACTTTTTTTTTTGCATAGTAAAGTCATTCAAAAAGTATTAATACAAGGGTTACATAATGATAAAAGTCATATTACAAGATAGTTTCTGAAAAGCATTAGTTATAAATATATAAGCATGCGAGTTTTAACATGCTCTAATATAGTTATCATTATAACAAATTAATGAATATAATATCTCAAGTAAATGTATTCACATGCTAAATTCAATGCATACATACAGAGAACAAGAAAGTAAATAAACAAATAAGTAAAATTATCATTTAATTTAGTTTTGACAAAATGTTGAAATTTATAATACCAAAACTACCAGATTTAAATCCAAGACTATTGATGATCAATAATTTTGAAGACCACCTTAGCTTTTAGTTCCTTAAATTTACAACACCAAAGAACTGATTACACAGAATATTCATGTTACAAATTTCTCAACAAAACAATATATTTGTACATTTTAGATATCAAGAAAGAGGGGCAATATTTTACAAACCTTCACACTCTACTTTTGGTTTTACTCTTAGAATGAAAGATAAAAGTGTCATAGAATTATATTTAACGGATAAAAACGTCATATCATTTTTTTATTTTGCTTGTGATGTATTTATCTCTTCATTATTAGAGATGATTCTAAATCGAATGATCGATAACTGTGGAAAATCAGTTATATTATTTGGTGAATTTAGTAATGAGATTTTCAATTTCTTTATTTGGTTTACTCCCTATTTTTTTTTATGTGAAGTGAATTATTTTTTGTATAACGATGAGTATTCTCTTATTTTATAGATAAGTAACTAATTTATTTTAGAGTGAGTAGTTGTTTCTCCCAATAAATATTGCTATTAGAAGTCAAACTCTTTACCTTTTAATTTATCTAAAAATCTAGTGATATCTTAAATCATTAAATCATAAAATAAATAAAACGAGTGGTTTTCTTTGGTTTTTCCATTCCTTCACACTTAAAAAATCAAGCTTCCAGGACCAACCACAACATTAAATCTATATCATGAAGAGACAAATGCTTCAAAAAATAAAGAGAAATACAACTTTCAATAACATACTTATACTTTTAATGTAATGAAATTACATTTTTACAATTAAAAACAAAGGGAAATATATACACTTGTCTATGCAAAAGTATTCAGGTTATTATAAAACTATATTCGTCAGAAAATATATGGGAACTAAAATTCACCAAATCCTTCCTTCCATTTTGGATATTGTAATGGTTCTTCCTTAGTTTTCTGTTAAAAAAATTTCATGATATTATACAACTTTTAATGATATTAAATGACATAAAAACTGTTTTTTATTGGACCACCAAGATATTTACAAGGCATTCACGTTAACATTTAAGCACACGATGAGAAACTGATCCAAATAATTACTCCAAATTTAATTTAGTATCCCATATATGTAAATCAGCATCGCATATCTCGGAGATATAATAGTACTTTCAGACGCTATTTATATAATCACAGTAGTACATGTTAGAAGGTAAGTCTCATATCGCCTACCCCATTGTCTCGGAAATGGTTTAAATACCTGTTGGACTACTCATCTTCTTGCCAATTGGTTTTGAGATGAAACCTTAACATAGTATTAGAGTCAGAACTTAACTTCTTTCCGGTTGTCATGAGCCAAAAAGATATCGTTTAGTTATAGGTCAAAGGTAACCCTTCGCCTAATTATTCACTCAAAGTTATTATAAGTACCCTATCGAACTTACTTTTTTAATGTAAAGCGAGACTCCTAATAATTGACATTCCTAATCCTCTTATCTTATAATTGGTTTGTTTTTTAAATTTACTCGGTTTTAATTAAATGAACATCCTTATGAAATATGAGTTGAAATTTTACCAACTAAACCATCACACATTAATTATAAAATTGCTCTTATTTTGACATATATGAGTGGCAACATATATTGATATTAGTGGTATACCAAATCATAATTTTAGTTTTTATTTTAGAAATTAAGTTTGGTTACTAATAGAAAGAAAGACAATAATTCCCATTCTTAAATATGTCACATTACACACTTAGTTATATATTTGCTTGGCATCTAATTTATTACCTTAATTTTTCATAAGATTGGTGATGATAAATCGAAATATTAGAGGCATAAATTCTGTTGTCAATGAAAGAAAAAAAGGAATAAAGTGATAAAAGAAAGAATGAGAAGAATAAGATTACGAGATTCAAATCTGATGTCTCCAATGATATCTCATATCAATCACAATATGTCATTTAATTTGAAAAAATTATAAAATTAAAATCAAATATTTTATATTATTTAGTACAATTCTATTGAATATGGATAAAGAAATAGAATACTTTTGGGGTAGAAAATCGGCGATCCACATGCATATTATAACAATGTTTTGCTTGATCTACCTGTTGTACTCAAAGAATGAGTGGGTATACAAGCAATCC